AAAACCATCTTAAAGGCAGAGAAACTGAATTCCTAAGTATGGTAAATGGGATTCCTGCTGAATTTGAGAGAGAACAGAAAGGAATCGTACAAAAGACCTCCAAGTTCTTTTTCTGGTCTGAACAAGAGAAAAAATGGGTGGTATTTATCTGACAAACAAGTCTTGGGATAACTGGTAACAGGGTGAAAAATCCCCTCTAATCCACATTTAGGAACCAGTCTGCCTCACTGAAACAAGCTGACGCTTAGCAAATAGTGAACTAATGATTATTGAGTGCTTTCTACTACCCCTTATCTCAGTGGGACATGCATGCCTTTCTGGAGTGTTTTTATCCGTGTCCGTGTGTGTCCGTGTCCGTATGTGTGTGTGTGTAATTTGAGGATAAAAACAGACTCTAGAAAGGCACATGTGTGTCACAGCATTCAGGCCTCTGGTGGCATGAAGTGCATCTCAAGCCAATCTTCAATCCCTTGCTGACCCATGATAGAGATTCTAGTCCTCATGGGTCTATATTTTTACACACACACGTTTCATGGGTCTATATTTTTTACACACACACACACACACACACATACGTTTGAGGATAAAAATATAGTCCTCATGGGTCTATATCTAGTACTCGTGGGGATTAAAGACTGGCTTGAGATGCACTATGTGCCACCTGAGGCCTGAATGCTAAAGGGCAACAACGAATAGTCTGGGCAGCTCTTGGATCACTGAGTGCTAACCTACATGACGGCTCTCGCACACACATGCAGGAACTAAGCCAGAGCTCCCAAGCAAATGCTTAGTAAATTAAGCCATGCCCCCAGTGACACATTCAATATGAGATGCCAGGCACTCGAGCTGCATTACTTGTTATACCTGAGGTTAAGCATTATGTTTACAGCAGATAACACACACAATGTCTATGAAGACCCTAAAATAAAAAGTGGCTTCAATTTCTAGGTGAGACCGTAACACACAGAAATTATGCTGTTAAAGCAGCCTGAGCCTTTTTCAAACAGACCATTTGGCGGGCTGAAAAAACCCAGCAAAAATACTCTTAAAAAAAATTCCTGGAGAACACAGCCACCCTTGGGACAGTGTTAAATGTGAGCAAGCTGCAGTAAACGATAAAAACACCGTGCGAAAATGCCTTTTAATGCTAAATTTTCCTGGAGCTAACTCTCCATCTCATTCAGCAAGGACATACTGTGAAGGGGGGAGGGAAGAGGAAGACGGCATTACAAGGATAGAAAATATTTTAAGAAGTCATTAATCAACCATGTTTTCAGCGGAAAACATCCAAAATAGCAGCAGAAAAACCCTATTTTACTGAAGAGTTGGGTGAGTCTTTCCACCCTGTGATATGACAAACAAGTGCATAATTTCATTATGAAATTGTGGCAAAAATCTTGACTCCATCTGGGAGGGGAAAAATACATTTAGGTAAATGTGACCATGCACACACAACAGAACACAGTAGCTGGCTTCAAAATCCACATTTCGTTCTTGTTCATCCAGCTGTATCAAAGCACACCAGCACTGTCTCATCAACATGTAAACAAACAAACTAAACACCCCCCCCCCCCCC